GCCGCCGCCGCCGCCCCCGGTCCCCACTCCGGCCGCGCAGCCGCCGGGATCCCCGTCTCCGCCCGTGCTGCGCCGCGCCGCCGCCAACCGCAGCCGCCGCGAACGTGCGACGGCGCCGGACAACCTAGCGGTGTGACGCGTCGGGACAGACAGGCGGCGCGACCAATGGGAGTGGCCGGAGGCCTGCGCGCAAGCCGTGGGGGCGGGACTAACGGGCTAGCCGCGGGGGCGGGGCCTCGGCTGGAGCTGAGGGTCAGGGGCGGGGCCGCGAGGGGCGGGGCCTCCGCGGGTTTGGTTGCGCCGACGTGGGAAGGGGCCGCGTCTCCGGGAGGCAGGAGGATCCGCTCGGGATTGTGGGAATGTGGAGGACTCGGCTGCTGGTCTCTGCCCAACTCCAGCGCTCACCTGGCCTGGACGCCCGCCCCAGCCTGCTCGGTGCGCTTAGCACCCAGACCTCACCTGGCTATGAGCGAACCTTGGCAGATCCATTCCTGGAAAAAGCGTTAATGGACGCCTATGGTATACCAGACATTAATACTTTATAATGCCTGCTTTATAAACCTGCGTTCTATAGACCAGGTTCAGGTCAGTGGTTAATAACGCAGCACTTGGATAGACGGGGCACGGGCCAGGCAATGGTGCAGCATCTGATATAGACCAGGCAGGACACAAGCTGAGCAGTCGCTACTGCATGCCAGACAGGGGCCAGGTATTAATGCAGAGGGCATGTCCATTAATAGAGTACCTATTGTTTACCAGACATAGACTAAGCATTAATGCAGCCCCTGCTGTATTCCACACATATACCAGACATTAATGCAAAACCTGTTATACACCAGGCACTGACGAGGCATTGAAGCAGCATTTGCTGCCAGGTGTGGTGGCACACACCTGTGTTACCAGCTCTCGGGAAGTTGACCCAGGATCACCAAGAGTTGAAAGGCCACCCTGGGCTACAGAGTGAGACCCTGTCTCAAAACAACAACAGCAACAACAAATCCCCATGTCCTGACACCTGAAGAGCATATGGCACTCCAACCTTAAGGTCCATACTTTAAGGTCCGTAGGAGCAAAGCTGGGAAGTTGCAAAATATGTTCTTTTCCTTTTTTTTTTTTTTTTTTTGTATCTGTGATGCTGGGGTTGGAACCCAAGGCCTTTGTACCTGCTAGGCTAGCACACTCTCCACTGAGCTGCTTTCCCAGCCCACCTAAAACATTTTCTATCTGACTTCCTCCAGAATGAGACCTACGTACACACTAGATGCTCAATAATATTTTTGTTTTTGAGACAGGGTCTCACTGTGTAGTCCAGGCTGGCCTCAAACTCACGGTGATCCTCTTGCCTCAGCCTCCCGAGTGCTGGGGTGACAAGTGTACACCACACCTATTGGCTCATCAATGTGTGTGTGTGTGTGTGTGTGTGTGTATATATATATATATATATATATATATATATATATTTTGTTTTGTTTTGTTTTGTTTTGTTTTAAATCAACGTATATTGAATGGTGAAAAAAAAGCATTTAGAAGCCCTGAAGCACTGTGGGGGGCAAAATCCCACTGTGAAAAGGAGGAGCCCCAAGAGGTCTTGGGCAGGACTTTGGGACAATGGCAGCTCTCTCCTGGCCCTGCCCAGATCCCAGCTCCCCAGCCATAAATCTCCCCATCTTGCCAGCTGCACCTTGGTATGCTGCTCCCCAGTCTTGAGATAAGGGCTTGCAGGTCAGGTCAAAGTCTGCATTTATGAGTTGATTGGGGCATAGGGAGATTATCTCCCCGAAACTCCTGTCTCTAAGGCCTTTGTCCCTGCCTCAGCAGGACCCAGGCTTGTGAGGGCTCCTGGAGAACCCCATGAATTGATTAAATCTCCATAGCAGGGAGAATCTATAACCAGAACAAACCGGACAAAGCCAGGCATGGTGGTACAGCCTGTCATCGCAGCACTCAGGCAGGCTGAGGCAGGAGGATTGACAAAAGGTCTTACATACAGTAGGTGCTCAATAAACACTGAATAAAGAGTTGTGTTGGTTTCAAATCCTGAGTCCCCCCTCCCTGCCCCCCCCGTTTCTGCTAGGCATTAAACAGTTGCATTTGCACATTGATGGGCCACGCTGAATATTGTCCTTGTCACTAGCAGGGAGGAAGTGGTCAGGGCATCTCCATCTCTCCTGGCCATGCCCATGTCACAGTGCTGCCCGTGCCCAGGGCAGCTCCATCGCTCCCATGGTTCCAAATCGCGCTTGCACCTCTGCCACCCTCCATCCTGTCTCCAGGCCTGGCCTCGCCCAGCTCCAGACTTGAGGTCCCACTGGACTGGGACATCCTGACATTGGGCTCTCATGGGGTGTCACCTTCACTGTGGCCAAAACTGGACCCCAATTTTACCCCCAGAGGCCTCACCTCAAAGCATCTGTCCCTAAGCTGGGTGTAGTGGTGCACGCCTGTAATCCCAGCACTTAGGAGACAGGCAGGAGGATCCCCATGAGTTCAAGGCCAGCCTGGGTTACATAGTGAGCTCATGGCCACTGTAACTATACAGCAAGACCCTGACTCAAAAAACAACGAAACAGGGCAAGGGATTTAGCTCAGTGGCACAGCACCTGCCTGGCAAGCACAAGGTCCTGAGTTCAATTCCAGTACTGCAAAACAAACAAACAAAAAAACAGCCTCTGTCCTCAGCCCACCCTACCACCACAACACCCACCAAGTCTCCTCCTCCTCTTTCCTGTTCCCCTAAATAAAACTAGACCCCCACCCCCAACCAGAGCCGGGGATTTAGCTCAGTGGTTCTGCCGCCTGCCCTGCAAGGGCAAGGACCCAAGTTTGATGCCCGGTACCAAAACAACAACAACAACAAACTTAGACCCCCCCAGTAGTCTCTATCATAATGCCCTGTTCCTCTCAGCGCATTGTTCACAATCTCCAATGAGACCTGTTAATTTATCAGTGGTTATTTATTGAGCACTTGCTATGTGGCCGGCACTAGATTAGTTATTTATTTATTTTTGTGGTGCTGGAGATGGAACCTGGGGCCTCAAGCACACGAAACAAATGCTCTTTCCTGAGCTACTTCCCCAGCCTTTTTTATCTTTATTTTAAGACAGCACCTAAAGTGCCTAGCCTAGGCCCTAATTTTCCATCCTCCTGCCTCAGCCTCCTGAGTAGATGGAATGGCAGGTGTGCGCCACCACACCCATCTAGATTGGATATTTATGAGTGGAGCCCTTATCCATGTGTATGAGCAACGTTCACATGAAGAGCTTTATCTACCTCCTCCACCACTGTGTCTCCAGGGCCCAGAACAGTACCTGGTATTCAGAAGGGGCTCAGTAAATGTTTGTGACATCAGAGAAGGATCCCAGCTCTCCTGAGTGTTCTCCTCTGTCTCAAGAAAAAAAAATTGTGTTTTCCTTCTTTCCTCCCCTTCAATGAAGGGGTAAAACACAGAATCAAACTTTTGCTGCTGGTGGACTTGGGCAGGTGCTTAACCTCTCTGGGGTTCTTTCCTCACCCGTAAGGGGGCACATTATGCTCTTTCCCAGACAGTTGTAAATGACCAATGGGGAAGGGTCTTGTGAAGCATACATGGGAACTTAATGTGTGCTTAAGTTTTGGGGCTTTTTGAGAAAGGGTCTCCCTGTGTACCCCAAATTTGAGGCTGGCCTCAAATTTGTGAGGATCCTCCTGCCCCAGCCTCCCAAGTGCTGGCATTACACGAGTGTGCCACCCACACTGGGCTGGGCTGTTTCAGAGATCTCTTTAGAAAATCACCGTGACGTCTATGGTTGGGTGCTGTCTGGCTGCCTGCAGGAGGGTCCTGGGCACAGCTGACGTCTCTCTTAGAACCACGGGGCAGAAGCTCTTCCAAGGGGTCCCCAGCCCCGGCGCGGCCTGCAGAGAGGTGGCACGCACTGGCACCTTCCTCACACTCACACCAGAGACTCACCCTGCTCCATGACTCCCAAACTCCTGACCCTCAACAACTGTGACTGGCTGCTGGGGAGGCTGAGCACGGAGGACCACTTGGGCCCCGGGAGTTTAAGGCCAGCCTGGGTATGAGAAAGATAGTAAGAAAGCAAGAAAATAAGAGCAAGAACATCATGAGGCAGAAATACAAGAAAGCAAGGAAGGAGAGAGCCAGAGGTAGTGAGACACGCCTGTCCTCCCAACACTCGGGGAGGCTGAGGCAGGAGGATCTCAAGTTTGAGCATGGCCTGGGCAACTGAGTGACTTTGCAAGACCCTGTCTCAAAATAAAAAATTTGGGCCATGGATTTAGCTCAGTGGGGCTGCCTCCTGCCTCACAACTGCAAGGTTCCAAGTTCGATCCCCAGTACCAAAAAATAAAATAAAATAAAAAATTAAAAGGGCTGGGGATGGAGATCAGTGCAAAGGCCCTGGGGTCAATCCCAGTACGAACAAAAAAAGAAGAAGAAGGAAGAGTGAAAGATAATGTTTACTCTTTTAAGGTGCTAAGTTTTGGCTTGATTTGTTACACAGACATTGATAACTAATCCACAGGCCCAACACTAAGGAAAGTGCACATCCACACACAGCCTCGGATACAAACAACACCCCAAACTGGAAGCAACTCAAATGTCTGGCAGTAGGTGGGCAGACAAACAAACCATGGTCCAGCCTACAATGGAGTATTATTCAGCAAGAAAAAGGAACTAACTTCATACAAGGAGCAAAGGACTCCCCCCGCCCCGCTTTCTTTTTTTCTTCCTTCCTTCCTCTCTCTCTCCTTTCTTTCTTTCCTTCTCTCTCTCCTTCTTTCTCTTTCTTTCATTCTAGTGCTGGAGATGAAACCCTGACTGAGCTACATCACGAACTCTTTTTCTTTTTTTTCTTTTTCTTTTCTTTATTTTGAGACAAGGTCTCAACAAGTTCCT